TCCTCGCTGGCGAAAGACACAACGGCTCCCAGCCCTCAGGCCCCGGAGGACTCTTGGATGGGAGAGTCGAAACCGTCCCTGCCAGCCGGGGAGAAATCCAGTTCACTGAATGAATGATCCAGCAAGGAGAAAGGGGGAGACAGGGAGGCAGGCAGCCCAGGGAGAAGAACACCCCTCCTCCCATGGGGACACCTCAGCCTATGGACCCCCCTGATAGCGGACCCCCAAGTGAGTCCCGTGGCCACACAGGTGAAGGTCAAAGACCAGGTCGATCTACCCTCAGCTCAGAATTCAGAACCCCCACTTCAACCCTTGCCCTCCCTCTGCCCGTGAGCACAACCCTGACCTCAGCCTGCGCCTTCCCGCCTCCGCCCACGGCAGAGAGAGAGAGAGCAGCCATCCGAGTGAAAAGAGTTCAAGCCCAGTCTCCGGGCTGCTCCCCCACCCCTAACCACCAGACCGTCGGTGCGCTGAAGCCCCTCTTCCCTGGCACGTGAGAGCCCACGCCGTCGTGAACTCACAAGTCAGGCCCACCGGGAGCCGAGCTGGGATCTTGGCTCTATCACTTGTGGCGTGACCACGGGAAAGTTGTTTCTCCGAGTCTCAGTTTACGCACCTGTAAAGTGGGACTACGGAGAACCCGAGCGCTGTGACATGAGTCCTAGGCACCCCATCTCCCCACTTGTAAACTAAGCAGGCAATGCGAGGCATTTTCCGACTCATTTTCGGGCACTGGATTAAGCCCTGAGGACCCAGGGGTAGTAAGAAACCATCTTTATTGCCAAAGTTTCTCCCACCCTAATTTTTCCTGGCTTAGGACGTTTTCCTATAGTTGGAAAAGAAACAAAAACAAAAACGGAAACCAGTCCATGAGCTCAATGATGAATTTCAGCGAATGCATGACTAAAGAAAGGGGGTGTTAGGGGCTCGGTTACGTCACTAGGAACGCCACCGCGTGTGAGCTCCAGGGTGTGCGGCCGAGACGGTCCTGGAGTCACGAAAATCCTCAGCCGGAGTTTCCACGGGCTCCGCTTCCTTGAAAAAAAAACTAGAAACTAACAGGAAACTACCGCTGATATATGTGTTCCTTTTTCTTTTCCTTTTTTTTTAAAGCTTCATTTCTTCCCACCACCTTTGTGAAATGTGTTACCCCGAACCCCAGAAATTCCCTGAAACACGTGTGTGTGGGAACTGGCCTTTCTTCTGTGCTGTTGCCGTGGGGGAAAGGACTTCAGTGGGCGTCTTGAAAACAAAAAACAAAAAACAGGACGACCTGTCCCGGGCACAGGTGTCTCCTGTGGGCCACCACCTGGACGGCAAAGCAAACGAAGGAAGGCCTGGCCTGTGGTCACCTCTGCTGTGTCACAGCAACCAGAAACAGCCCCGGGGGAGGGGGGAGCAGGAGCGGCTGGGCTTCTGGCCTTCCCTTCGGATTCCTGCGGCTCAGTCACCTGGAGAGTAACGTCCAGTTCGCTCCATCCTGCGGCTCAGCCGGTTTTACCTTTAATCCCTTTCCCGTTTGTCCTCAGCGTTGAAGAATGCCTGGGGATGATTCACCGCCATCTCCCCGGGGCAGGCAGTCATCTGGTTTACTGCCTCACCCTGCTCCCAGCGTCTGGGAGACAATCTGGCATTCTTGTGCTGGGGGGTGGGGTGAGGGGTGGGGGTGGGGGGAGGTGAGAAGCACTGAGGCTTTCGGGAGGCTTTCTGCTCTGGCCTCGCTCTCCTGCTCCCCTGCTCCCCGGCCCAGGTCTAAAGGTCCCAAGGAATAAGTCACTTGGAAAATGCCAGGGCTTGGGCACCTGGGCTGGAGAGAAAGTTGGATCTGGCCATCTAGAAAGTGTTTTCCCTTCGCCAGTGAGCCAACGGGTGAGAAGGCTTGGATGCCAAACAAGACAAAAACAAAATCAGTAATCAGGGGGACTGCCACGAACAACCACGTACAGTTTTTTTTTTAATTTTATTTCTTTATTTTTAGAGAGAGGGGAAGAGAGGGAGAAAGAGAGGGAGAGAAACATGGATGGGAGAGAGAAACATCCATCCGTTGCCTCTTGGATGCACCCCAACCAGGGACCAAACCCACAACCCAGGCACCTGCCCTGAGCAGGAATCGAACTGGGGATCTTTCACTTTGTGGGACGTTGCCCAACCAACTGAGCCACACCGGTCAGGGCACAATTTTTAAGGAAGGGCATGGCCTTGTGTTTGGGACAGAAAATACTTCATTGGTTCACATTTTATTGGGGTACGCTTGTTGCCAGGTACTGGCATGCTCAGTGTGCCCCTAGGGGTCCTGGGGTCAGAGTGCCAAGCCCCTGTATTTCTCTTCCCCCGTGGCCCCTACAAAGGCCCTGCTGAGTCTGTGTTACTGTGTTTTACAGACCCAAGCCTGAGGCTTCAGCTGAGCAAGTTCCTCACGGTCAAAGGGCTAGAAAATAGGGTGGATTTGGTACCCACACGGACTGATTCCACAGCCTGTGCTTCTCAGCCAACAGATGATGAAGCACGTGTCAACAGGGACAAGTGCTGGTCAGCACCTGTCATATTTCAGGTCCAGAGGCTGCAGGGTGTAGTCAGTCCTAAGGCTTGAAGTGCAACCGTGTATAAGGGAAACCAAGTTTACCACAGGCTCATTGATATAAACAAGGGTTAAGTTCCTACAGAACCAGTGTAACAAAATGACTTTGAGAAACGAGACATGAATTGAGCACCTGCTTTAATTTAAAAAGAGAGAGAGAGAGACCAAGTATTGGTTAATGTTAGAGCCGGAGAGCTCTAGCCAGACAGAACTGGGTCTGCTTATTAGCTCTGTGTCCCCGGCCCTCGAACCTCGGTTGTCTCATCAGTGAAATGGGGGTAGTAAGTGGTACTCCCTACTCCAGAGGCTTGTTGTGAAGACTCAATGAGGTCGCGTGTGTGAAGCACCTGGCACCACATTGGCTTTAGGCCTGAGCTACTGCCCTGATCAATAAGTGGGAGGTTCCTTTATCTCGTGAAGCCTTGGCCCAAACACAGGAAGTGTGGAGGACTATGGGAATCTCCCATGCAACAATGGGAACTCCTACTTTTGGGTGTTGGTGGCCAGCGTGAGGCCCACGTCTCTGGACTTGTGTGTGTGGCATCTACGGAATGAAGGAGGGAAGGAAGGGCAAAGGCGGAGCCCCCAGGCCTGTCCTCAGGGAAGTCATGGACTCGCTGAGGGCGTTTGGGAGCAAGAAACGGCCATGGAGGGTCTTTTCTGTCCCCGAGGGGAGACCACAGACTGGGGACTCCCTCCCTTCCTTGCTCAGCAGACCCCGGCCCACACAGCACAAGATGCTGGCTCCTCAGGGAGGAGATGAGGCTCAGACAGGAGAATAGGTGCCCCAGAGTGCGGGGCCTCCTTCCTCCGGCCCAGCTCCCTGATGTACATCCAGGGCAAGAACAAACACAAAAAGAAACACCCGAATGATTAAACTCACTCAGGAAACACGGACAAACCCATCGATCCACCCGTCCATCACGCTACCTCCCTTTCCGTATTTAGTTACAGAGTTTTAATTTCTCAAGAAACATTGTCTGATTTCTCAATTTCTTCTAATTTTTTTTTCAAGATGAAGTTGTTGCTTTGTTTTCTTTATTCTTTTTTTTTAAAGATTTTATTTATTTATTTTTAGAGAGGGAAGGGAGGGAGAAAGAGAGAGAGAAACATCAATGTGCGGTTGCTGGGGGCCATGGCCTGCAACCCAGGCATGTGCCCTGACTGGGAATCGAAACTGCGACACTCTATTCTTTTTAAAAACCCCTTTTCCCAAGTCTGAGACATCCTCACCTCGAGGCTGCAGAGGAGAGAACAGCCTGTGAAGCTGCCGGCCCCCGGCCTGGGACGGTTCCGTTCTCAACTCAGCTAAGAACAGCAACAGCACTGAAGTGTTCTCCCTGCCACCCTCTGGAAGTCCTCCCGGGGGAGGGGATTCACAGCACTCCCAATTTTCCGGACCCGGACGAGAGCCAGCTACATTTGCAAATACGGGCGGTGGGGGGATGGGTGAAACAACGTGGGGAGAAGAATGGAATAAGAGGGAGACAGATGGTGCCTGTGTTGGGGGAAGGGATAAGAGATCCCGGAAAACTTATGTTCCCCGATTTACAAGCATGTTTCTACTTAACCACTTCTTGCCTGCTCCGGCTTCTACAGAACAGAGAAGCAGGCAGTTGTGAGATGTAAGGCCACCTGCGCCAAGAGCCTGGACACTCGGGGTGGAGAAAGGCAGGACCGTTGGGACGCAGAGGCAGAGCGGCTCTTGCTCAGCCTCCGGGGGTCCAGCCTGGGTCTGGGACCCAGGTAAGGGGAGGTCTCCCTGTGCCCTGACCCCGGGCCGCGTAGGGGCGGGCGGCCGGCGGTTCGGACTGTCCCGCGAGGGGGCGCGTCTCCGGCCCGAGGACCCGCCCTCGCGGCGCTGGGCGTGGGGAGGGGACCTGGAACCCAGGCGCCCGGCGCTCCGCCTCCCGTTTCCGGGGCAGCGCGGTTACCTGCACCGCCTGAGCCGCACCTGGCGGAGGCAGAAGTCGCAAACCGAGCGGGCGCAAAACGGCGGAGCGGAGAGGAGGGACGGCACCCGGCTGAGGGGAGGAAGAGGCGGCGGAGGGCGGCGTGGAGGGCGCAGCGCGCCGCGCGGCGGAGGAAGGCAGGCGGCGGCGGCTGCGCTCGGCTCGCTCTGCCCCGCCGGCCGGGCGCGCACCCGAGCCCGCACCGCGCCGCTGCGGGCGCACATGGCAGCTTGAGAGGCCCGCGGCGGGAGGAACGGGCGGCGCCGGGCCGGGGCCGGGGAGCAGCGGAGCCGCATGGACTGCCGCGCCGCGCCGGCCGGCCCTCACTAGGGCCCCCAATCCGCGGGCGCCACCCCCCCCCCCGATTATGGTGCCTCGGCTGCCGCCCGGGCCGGGTACAGCCGGCCGGAGCCGCTGAGCCGGGGACCCCAGCGGCGGTCGGGAGCTGCATGGGGGAGTGCGGGCTGCACTTGGGAAGATGCCCCGACCGGAGCTGCCCCTGCCGCAGGGCTGGGAGCAGGCGCGCGACTTCGACGGCAAGGTCTACTACATAGACCACACGAGCCGCACCACCAGCTGGATCGACCCGCGGGACAGGTAGGACCCGGGAGCACCCCCACCCCCACTGGCACCCTCTACTGCCCTAGGGGCCACCGGCTGGGACTGGCCAGGAGGGCGGGGGGGGCGGCCGCCCTGCCAGCCTCTAGCGCTCTCTTCGCCCCTCCACTTCCATTCCCCTCCAGGAGCGATGCCGCCGCCCCTGTGGGCTGCCGGGAGGAGGGGACAGCCCGCGAGTTGGCCCAGGCTGCCCCCCTCCGCCATTCCTAGATGGAGGACTTAGGCCCCATCCCGCACCTGCCCCGAGTTTTGACCTCAAGCTGTAGCCCCGCCCCCGCCCCCTTTAGGAACAGAAGTCGGGCGAAGGCGGGGGGACTTCGGAGCCGAGTGATGCTGGGGCTTCCCGGGGAGGCTTTCCCCGGCGTGGGGCGGAGAGCGGGGAGGGGGATGGGGCAGCATCGGTTAGGAGGGGGTGGCAGGGCCTCCGGAGTCTAGGGGAGACTGCTGGGGGAAGGACAGACACCGCGCGCTGGGGAAGGCAGCCCGGAGTGTGGTTTTTGACAGGTGCCTCTGAGGTTCTGAGAAGACACCTGAGCAGGGGGGTGGGGGGCTGGAGGCCGGGGGTGAGGAGGAGCGGGGAGGGCTGGTCTGATCGGGGAGATTGGGTCCCCGGGAACCCACAGCAACTTGGAGGCTGTGAGGATGTAGGTGGAGGTGAGAGGCCTCCCGCCAAGCCCTGCCTGTCGCCCCTTCCTCCTCCCTTTCCCGCTGTGGGTCCCGGCTCCTCAGCGCTGCACCAGCGCGTGGTGACCTTGGTGGCCACCACACCGGCTGTAGCACGGGATTTTTTGCTGAGGCAGGTGGAGTCTGAGATGCCTGGTGTGGCTGTTAGCTTCCAGACTTTCTCTCGGCTTCCACTGCTTGGAATTTCTTTGCACACATGCACCTCCTCCCCATCTATGTCCTGGGTGAGGGGGGAGGTAGGACCACCCTCTGGGGGACCTTCGTTGTCCTCTCCTAACGCAGTCCACAGTCCGTGGTCGAAGCGTCTCAGGAATGTGGAATTTTCACCTGGTCACTGTGACCTTGGGCATTAGGTGCCTGTGAAACAATGGCGGTGAATTTTCTGGACGCTTCATCTTTCTGGGTTGGGGTGGAGGTCCCAGAAGGCCAGGACGGGTGTGTAGCAAGGTGAGGATTAGCAAAGACAAAGTAGCCAAAAAAGCAGAAGGAAGGTAAGGAGAGTTCAGACTCCCAGGAACCCCAGTGAGCACCTGAGTTCATTCACTTGCACACTCACTGGGTTGCTCCACACTCGGAACCCTGCCGGAGGTCTCACGGCGGTTTCCCTGGAAGGGAAATATTTAATGCCAGAGAGTGTTCCCCGGCCAAGCTGCTCGAACCGCCGAGCCTCAGTTTCCCTGTTTGTCAGACGCCTGGTTTGCTCTGAAGGGGGGCCGTAATGAGTGGAGCTGTCAGAACTTGGCGAGGATGCAGAAAACAGAGTCGGGCTCCCGTTTTCAAACAGGATAAAATTCGAGGCCCAGGGGTGTGATTCACTCGTCTCGATGCTGTCGCGTCTCTCACAGTCCAGGCTCTTCACCAGCGCTGAACTTCTAACCTCCAGCCGTGTTGTGACTCACTTTCCTTCCCCGCCCCGCTCAGGGCCAGTCGTGTTGCTGCACCAGGCAGCCCCTCGTTCGCCCCCAGAACAGGCTGGGGCTCCGCTGCCCTCCCCCACCACAGCGTAGGTCCCGGCAGCTGCCTTCCGCAGGTGTGCTGTCAGCTGGGTGGCGGAGGTGGGCATCCACACACCCGGGCGCTGCTGGCTCGCTCCGGGCACACATCTGCGGCCTGACTTCCCCGGGGCTCCGAGCGGCTGATAGAGCGGTAGCAGAGAGCTTCTGAAACGACAGTGATTCTTTGCCCTGGGAAGAGGGCAAGCTGCGTTACTGCCGCGAAAACGTGACTTGGCTGCAGCCTAGCTTCCCAGATTCTAGCCTTGTGTAGACCGCCTCCCCAGTGGCTGGCTGTGTCTACCTGTGCTGTTGCTTAACGTAATGCTCGACTTTAAATCGAGTCCCCGTGAAAAAGTTTAAACCACTTTCACAGGTAGGAAACTAGTTAACATCAATTGCTGTACATAGAAAGGATCCTTGAAAATAGAGTGGAGGAAAAAAACAAGCCACTGCCATCGCAGGCTAGCTTCTGCTGTGGTCTGCCCATGCCCCCCCCCCCCGTCCCCCGTGCACCCCCTCTGCCACAGCAGGCCCTGCCACAGGCCCCTGCAGCCTTTGTTTCAGGCCGATTGGCAAGCACCAGTGAGGAGTTGGAAAACTTACAGGTGTTTAATGGAGCTGCTCACTTCTTCTCATTGGTTTTGTGCCTCCTGGTCGTGCACCTGCACTGGGCATGTGCGAGGCCAAGGGGTTCCGAGTGCAGCCCTGGGGTCCCTGTTGTGGCCAGCTTTGGAAGTTTGGGCAAAGAGCTGAGCAGGGGCCTCCGTTCTGGCCTCTCCTGCCTGCCTGCCCGCTCCGCTGCAGAGATTTCTGCCCTCAGGTCCTGCCCCGGGCGAATCGCTGGAGGTGAGCTCAGGTGCAGGCCCTTCCCTGGGGCGAGGATGGGGCTGGCCAGGGGGTTTCTAAGGGCCCTGCCCGCTCCCGGATCCGATTTCACACTCCTCCTCGGCCTCTCTTCCTCCTCCTGACCCCAGGGCAGAATTTGGGAGTGGGAGTAGGCCGCAGGGTGAGGGGACTGCGAAGAGGAGGACAACGATTTAGTGACACAGCTAGAAAGGAGCCAGACGGCTTTGGGGTGGAGGGGCGGGGCGATCGATTCTGCAGCTGGATAATGCTGCGAAACAAAAAGACCCCGCACAGACATTCAGTTCCTCCCGTGTGTGCTTGCACTGGTCTTCCGCACCTGAGTCAGGGAGATGCCTGCCCACTCCCCTGAATTTAAAAGAAGTCTGTCCGATGGCCTTGGAGTCAGAAAAGTGATTTCTTAGCCACCAAGAACAAAATAGCGTCTCGGGTTACCAACCCCGAAGAATGTCCCGGCACATTCCTCCCTCTGGGGCCGGGCTGTTTGTGCGCCCTGGGCCTGCAGGCTGCTGGGGGCAGGGAATCCAGTGTTCAGCTTTCCCTTTCACGGGGGGTTGGAAGAGCCGCCAGGCAGCTGGCCGTGCCAGCTCTGTCCCCTTCTCGTCCAGGGGAAGACTGGGGGGGCCGAAATTCCTGAGGACGGTTGTCCCAACAACCGGAGAGGGTCCAGTGGGCAGCTTGGGCCCTGCCCACTGGGCCAAAGGCTCCAGCGGCACCCTGGCTGGGAAGGTGGCGGGTCGTCGGGGAATGGGGTGCCGCCCCGTGGAGTGGTCTTCCTTGAGTGGAGTGGCTCCTGGTGCGTTTGGGAGCTCCCAGCAAAGGGCCAGCATGGCACGGGTACTTAGCTTAGTGGTATGCCAAAACAAATACCCTGGCTGTTCTCTGAGGGAGAGTGGATTGTTGGAACTGGCCCTGCAGAGAAGGTTCCTGAAGCCCGATCCTGCTCACTCTGTGGTTTGTGGTCAGACCTCCTTCCAGGGGCCACCTGCGAATGCTGGGCACAGTTTCGGGGTCTGTGTGATAAGTGCCCGAGGCCCCCATGGCGGAGAGGCCGTGGTGAGAGGACTCAGCCACCCCTCTGAGGACGTAAGGAAGAACGTGGGCTCACCGTGCTATTTCAGACATCATTTGTATTCTAGGGAGTTGGGTTTGCAGCGGTCCAAAGACCTTAACCTGCTCTGGTCACCGACCCTTACGAGAAGCTGCCAAGGGCTAAGGCTGCTTCCTGGAGAAAAGCATGAGGGCAGTTTCTAGCCCATCATTTCAGGGGGCTCGTGGACCCCAGGTTTATGAGTTGACGCCATAGATCCGTTTATTAAGTGCTCGTCACTACCTGTATTCCCTCCTGTGCAGGTGGGCCGGAAACACTGATTGAGCTTTTGCTGCATTCAGGCAGTCTGCTGAGAACTTCGTATGGGTGCTTCCTTTCAGGCCCCCTCCCAGCCCCGGGAACAGGTAGTAGTCTGTCTCCCTGAGGCTCAGCGGGGCTGAGTTTGGTGACGCCGCTCACTTGGCTTCTGTGGAGCCGAGATGCCAACGACAGGCACTCGGCCTGGTGAACCCCCATTTTTAATCACCACAGCACCCAGCTGCCCGCTGAAGCGAGATTCCTGCCCCATGGCCTGAGGAATCTGGTTCTGGGGAATGGTGCTGGTTTCGCTTACCTGCAGCCGTTCTGTCGGGCAGCCGGACCGTGGTTACCCAGAGAGCACGTGTGGCTCACGGAGAGAGGGTGCACCTTTGAGGTCTGGCACCCTGGCCCTGCTACGTGCCACCCGAGGGAGGCCGGCAGGTTACAAACGCTCTCTGAGCCCCGGGTCTGTCTTCGGTGGGATGGGGAGGTGCACCTGAGCCGGCAAGGGCAGTGCCGAGCATGAAGTAAGCTAAGTGAGTTAAGGCAGGTAGTGTAGTGACCGATGAGCAGGGCACACCTGGGGACGCCAGCTCTTGCAGCTTTTACTAGAACTGCCTGCCAGACCCTTAAGTCAAGCGGAGGCCGAATCTCTGCCTCGCTCTGCAGCGGCTGGCAGGCGGGCAGGACCTTTCTGGCCGTGCGCTCTAGCATTCTTATTTCACGGATGAAACAGACTCAGAGACCGGTGGCTTGCCCAAGGTCACACAGCAAATAGATGTCAACCTCGAGTCTCCAGTGCCAGTCTCCTTTCCTCGTTCGGCTGCAAAAATCAGGTCCAGTGTATCCTCATCCGTTGTAATAATTTGGCGTCTTTCATGCTTGTGGCTGAGTTCTCCAGAACCCTTTCCCTGTGCGGACCAGTGAGTTCTTTCACGGTGTCACGGTCAGCGGTGAGCTGTGCCATAGGAATTTGTTGTTTGTCAAACAGGTACAGTCCCAGCAATGGCAAGGGAGTTACTTTTTTAATAATCAAAGTGGACTTTAGGTGATTGTCAGATTGATGTTACTTTTCACCAATTTAT